CAAGTTAGTTAAAAATTTTATGTTCTTCTGTTTCATTCCTTTTACTAAAATTTTTAAAAATAATTAGTTATATATGAGACTTCTTAAAATCTCTTAAATAGTCAAATAAAAAAGGCATTGCGTAGTTTCCCAAATTCAAGTATTCTATCATATTCTTCTAGTACCACTTACAAAGACGTTTAGAATATTACAATCTTATTCGTCTATCTGCTGAATTTATTGATCGCAATTCCATAATATACTTCTGTAAAAGTATTTCCCTGAAATAGTGTCCTTTAACGCTTTTGTTAAAATTAATTAATTTTATTTATATACGCTTAGGCTATTAATTTGTATGACAGCTCAACTTTCAAGTCATATATCGACCCTTCTGTTACAATACTGTATATATTAAATAAAAATGTAAATAAACTTATTTGAAACTAAATCAGATAGTAAATTAATAATTTTTTACTATAAGTATGGTAATTAATCCTACTAAATGACAATTTCAGGATAATTTTACTATTTACAATATTCACAATATCGAGTAACGAACTCGGGAACCGAGTTACAAAAAAAATTTGCTAGAAATTTGTTTTCTAGTCAGTGTCGCTTTGTACTGTTACTACATTACTTTAGTATACTATTCTCATTCTTCTCTTATCTCATACAGCCTTACCTATTTTTCTTCTCCAATCTTTACTCATACTTGTCAATTTTTCCGGATGTGTAGATTTTAACGGACTACAACAACAACAATATTTATGTCATTCAACTACAACGTTCGTTCCTAAAACATTCATGATTATGCATTCAAATAAATGTTTGTGATATTTTATTTGATTTACCATTAATATACATTGTAACAAACTGGGTTACTCGAAAATCGTTACTTAAAGTTACTTAAAGTTGCAAACACAATTATTGCCTACATAAAATATCAAATTTTTTCCAGAAAAGGAAGATAACACTTACATCCTTAATTTAATATATTGTCTTGTATATTGTAACAAACAGGAGAATATTCACTTTTAAAATAAATAAAAATTAAATGTATTATAAATATTTTTATAATATATATATTATAAATAATAATAGTATTATACTAGTACTATTGTCCATTTCACCCAATATATGTTAATAATAATAATAATATACTATTTTTATTATTACTATATTATATAATGATAAAATATAATATATTTATAATATATAATAAATATAAATAATATTTTTATATTATATGTATTATAAATAATAATAGTATTACTATTGTCCATTTCACCCAACATCTGTTAATAATAATAATTATTACTATATTAATATAATATAAAAAATATAATAACAATAAATATATTTATAACATATTTAAATTATATTATATATTATAAATAATTCGTAAAATCTATTACTATCTAAAACATTTACGCCTTGTGCGAGTTCGAGTAAATTGATGGTAAATTGAGGGAAATAGTCAATTATGTCAGTAAGCCATAATGTTGGTATTTAACAGAATTTTGAGTTGGATAAATTAGATAAAAATTAGGTAAATTAGGTGTTACCATTGTGAAAATTGTATAAGATGCTTAATAAATAAATAAATAAATTTGAAAACTTTTAACCAAAAATAATAAATAAGTGTAATAAATAAATAAATAAATAATCAGTGCAGTACAAAAAATCACTACGAAATTTCAATTTACTCGAACTCGCACACGGCCATAATATATTTTAATTATGATTTCTTTTTATAATCCAAATTTTTGATGACCGTTATTTTAATAATCACAATAAAAAAAATTTTAAGAGTTTTTACAATAATTGTGTTATATATGTAAATAAAATAAGATTAACATACAATTTTAATATATTACAATATATTCATATAATTTAACAGTAATATTGGTAAAGTATAGTCATATATGATATGAATTTAGGTATATGCAAAAATAGTGACTAAATTAAAAAAATTAAGTTAACTAATTTTATAAATTCGATGTTTTGTCTTAACGTATTACTAAAAATAATGTAAAAATTTGTAAAATTACTACTTTACTACCAATTTAGCTGTTAAATCAATTCGTAAGCAACAACTTGTTGAGGTGAGAACAATGGCTAATCCACCATCCGTGGTGAAATTGGCACTTGAATCGATATGCTTGTTACTCGGCGAAAATGCAACCGATTGGAAATCGATTCGTGCCGTTATTATGAGAGAAAACTTTATAAATTCAATTGTTTCTAACTTCGGTACTGAAAATATAACGTAAGCATGAAATTTCGTTTTCTTTTAAAAAATTAAGGTTTGATTTTATTGTTCTTGTAATTCGTTAAATAATTATTTTTTTTTTATTAGCTTTTCAGTTTGATAAACTCCTGAGTTGTTCATTTTTTAAATTATTTTTTCGTTTCGTTAAAAGTAGTGAGATATGATGCAAAGTACATTTTTTATGTTGTAAATTTTATTTATTTTTTTAAATTGATATATAATTTGAAATAATTATTTACAATAAGTTATTTTATATTTGGTAAAATTTTGACTTTTTGGTTGTGGTTTTAATTTTTAAATTAACTGAATTAGCTTTAATATGCTTTGCTCGCTTTTCATCCACCTTATTCGCTCGTTTAGCCAATCATTTATAAATTGCATATTTAATAATTTAATACTAATGATAATAATCATTTTTTTTTAAATAATTTAACTGTAGCGATGAAGTACGTGAAAAGATGAAGTCCAAATATTTGAGTAATCCTGACTATAACTTCGAAAAGGTGAACCGTGCAAGTATGGCTTGCGGACCTATGGTTAAATGGGCTATTGCACAAGTAAGTAATATATTACAATATTATATTTATTATTATAATAATTATACATGTCAATAAGTTGATAATGTACATTTATATAATCGTTGTAATAAATACTTACATTCACATTCATAACTGTAAATCATAACCAATCAGTAGATATCCAAAATTTTTAAATTTAAAGATCTACATCACTATTGATATAAAAATCTTCCTTTGCGAAAACATACGTTCAGTCTTCACTATCTATTAGTTTGAATTTTTTGAATTTTTTTTTTAAAGCAATGTAAGTATACAATATACACTGAAGATGGTTTACGAAGTATCTGTAATATAATTAATTTTTGTTAATTTTTTTCTTCCCGAGTG